CCGGGTACCCATTGTAGAGGAGGCGGGGTGGGCCCCAGAGCCGGTCTGGACGCAGAGGCTAGAGGAAAAATCCTCTGTCCCCGTTGGGGATCGAACCCCGGTCGTCCAGCCCGTAGCTAGTCAATATACTGACTGAGCTATCCCGGCTCTTAAACAGGATAACTAGAAACATGAAATGTGCAGGCAGGCATGCCAACCACTATGTGACAAGTAGTACATTGGAATGTGATACCAACAGCTACAACATACTTACTAGTCTAACTTTCACTCTGAATTATCATGCTACGTACGAACGGAAGTCCTGAAGCAAAATTAGAACCTGCCAAATTTCAATGTTCTAGCTACAGAAATGGAAGCATGCATGTAAGGCTGTACTGTCATACTGAATACACACCCTCAAGAGTACCATCTTCACCCATAATTATTTTCATAGACGTGATAATCTGTTGTGCAATAGGAGGAGACATAGCTGATGCATAGCAGGCAGCATGGCTATTAACACGAAGATGATCAATGAGGCGCTAAAACAACAAACCACGACTCTTATTATCCAGTGCTCAAAAATAATTTTCTTACTGAATTAACTACATATGTTTAAAAATGCATCATAAATCACTTACACAGCATTATAGTACTTGAAGTGGGAGATACATGAATGGTTAGGAACACATTCTTCACACAGGATTCTGCAAATGTCTCTGGCTTTAAGATGCTCATTTACTGCATACACAAATCTACTGTTGAAGATTGCCGTCTTCTGGGTTGTTGCGCTGTGTAGTCTGGTAGATGTCCACCAACATTTCAGAGGTCATGCTGCCTCCGTCATCGGGGCCCGAAGCAGCATGTCCTCTGAAAAGTTAGTGGACATCTACCAGACTACACAGCGCAACAACCCAGAAGACGGCAATATTCAGACTGACCGCTGTGAAAACCTAAAATCTTACACAAATCACAATGGATTGAGTAAGAAATTAATTTTCCTCTTATTTTGTTAAAAACTGGCCATACCAAAAAATATAAGCTGTAATCTTATTTACTCATACATTTCATGTTACATAATTTTTTTTTAATAATATTCAATATATGATAAATTTAATGAAGTACAATTTGAATTCCTGATCCAATAGGAATTACAATTAAATCAATCTAATAACCAAATACTTTGTTTGCACAAATAAATTTGAAAATTTCTTTTTAACACCCTGAGATTCAGAATATTCAAATAAGAGTATACTAATTTTATCTTCTGCAATAAGCTTACATCTAAACGAAGCCATTGCTACCAATAAGTTGGCACAACTTAAAAAACAATGCTATATCATGTGACATTTTCCAGGAAAATTATATTCAATATAGGCGAACGCTTCTACATATCGTCAATAATGTCCTACGCTGCCAGGAAAAAAGACTACTGCAGAAATGCAAGATACATGTCACTGCAAACTTTAAACTTGCAATAATGCAAGTTCTATGGAAAAGGCTGCTAGTATGCTTCATATTATTGCAAGTGCCACAGTGAAACAGTTACCTAACCTCTTTTGTAAATGAATGGAGATATTAAAGAGCAAAATCTATCAGGGACATTATCCTGAGCCAGTTTAATCCAGTTCACATTCCTACAACCTACTTCCCTCAGATTTGTTTTAATATTAATGTATTCTCCCATCTTCTTGGCCACTCTTAATTTTTTCATCTCAATTCAGTGACATTTCTTTTCTTTTTCTCTCAAGACAGAGATGGACAGCATTACTAGGCCTATGACAAGGAATAGCTTAATGTAATGCATTTTCATTAAGTACGAGGCTCGTCCTTAAAGTAAGTTTCCCTGGGGCCGTTTACAGAAACAAAACACAATTTCATGGAAATATTTATTGCAACAGATACAGCAAGTGTCCAGCTATTTTTCAACATATTCGCCACCGGAATTGAGACATTGGTCATACCGTGGGACCAACTTTTGAATACCTGGG